CTCCCGCATCCCGCATCCCTCTCCCACATCCCGCATCCCTCTCCCACCTTCCTCCTCCACACCCGCCCCCTCACGCCTCTCCTCTCCCTCGCCTTTTCCCCATGAACCAGCGTCTCGGGCTGCTTCCCGGTATTCCCAGAGGTTGCAGCCCTGCTCGTGGCTGTGGCAACACCAAATCTGTGTGTGCTCTAGCACCGTTGTTTAAACAGGAAGAGTGCGCTGTGCTTTATCAGAGCGTTTCAAACCTATTTACATAGAAAAGCCCTTTAATTTACATCTAAGACCTGATGTGATCCAGCTGTGTCTGCTCTGTTTTACGGCCAGCTATGTTTCTAGTTGGCAGGGATTTTATTTATTTTTTAAAAAACTGTCTGAACGCAAGAGCTTGGTGAGGTTGCCTTTGCTTCACTGACCCCCCTCTCATCCCCTCTCTGCCCCTTCTCTCCCCTTCCTAAGGGATATGCATGATGTTTGTGTATTTACTTATATTCATTTAGTCCCATCATTCATTCTTGATGGGACTAAATGAATATAATGGAGAAAGATGAGTAAGGTAGCAGAATGTATATTGAACTTAGGATTCAGTGATGTTTCAAGGTTAGGTTAATATTTTCAGCTGCACCTAAACCATTTTGAATTCAGCCCTGGTTTGCTAAGATGACAGTGTTTTGGGCCTGATTCCGTGAACACTTTGGGCTGGTTGGGATGGAGAAGGTAAGGAAGGCAGCAGACCTTGGCACCAATGGGTAACAGTCAAGTTGCTTCTTGCTGTCAACTGCAATAAAGAGCAGGGTGGTTCAAAATGAATTAAATCTCTTCTGAGCCTGCATCCAAACCATGATTTTCTAATGGTGGAAAGCATAGGGAATTTCGAGCATCACTTTTCTTGTTTTTCTCAAGTGTTTGCCAAACTAAAGGAAACTCCATATATAACTTAAACCAAAAAAACCTCAACAATAACTATGGAAACACCACATCTGCCACAGAACGGGAAAAAAAATCTCTGTTTTATCAGTTTTTTAAAAGTAACCTTAGTTTGGCTTTGCTGAGGGGAGAATCCAGTAAAGCCATAGATTGATTGACATGCTTTTTCTTGTTTTTCTCATTCAGCCTAAACTATCTGAAAAGTAATAACCTGGATTTACTCACAGGAACTAAACATATTCTTTTACCACTGTGAGCAACTCGGTCACCAGATACTTTTAATATAAACTTTCTTGGTAGCCTGAAACCCAGATATCTGTCCTTTACAAGGCTGCCCCAAGTGCTGTACAGTATAGTTGCTGTTATGTGCAGGAATCTGTTTAAAAATAATAGCAAAATGTCATTTACAGTATTTGGCCTAAAAGGTGCTTATCTTTGGCAACATTTTTTGAGTGACTCAGGCCCCCATCTCAGGAGGGCGACCAGGCAAGTCACAGCCTCTTGACACCTATGAACAGGCTTATGTTGCTAAGTCAATACTTGTCCCTTATATTTGAGTTCTTTTATGACAGCTTTTAGCCTGGTCTCCTTGAAACACAGCTACAGATAATCTGTCTGGTACTCTCTATACAGGGACCCTCTGTACAAGTCCCAGTATCACCACAGAAAAGTGTTTTGGTTTGGGTTTTGGCTCAGGTTTTCTAGTATTATTTCCTTTCTGTTGCCCTTATTGATTTCATGCATGCATGTAATGCAGAAAGACTCTATCATTACAGGATACAGAAGAGGAATTAGGCTCGAAGTGGCAGGGTTTCTCCACTGAAGGCCTTGACAGGATTGCCAGGTGTAAACCATGGGACACATAATCTAAGAGCAGTATTCACAGGAATGCAACTCTGAGTGAAGCTTTATGTTTGAGTATAGCTGGTACAGCCTGATACAACTTCCACTGATTTCAGTGAGACTTGTTGTTACCTGTGACAAATTTAAGCCTGAACAGAATTTGTTCTCTACAGGACCAGTTTAGATATTTTAAATAGTTTTTTTGGTTGGTTGGTGTTTTTTTTTTTTTTTTTTAGACTTATGCTTAGCAAATGACATCTCTCTACCACAGGCCTTTTCCACACAGGCAGATTTTTATGTCAGAGTCTTTGGTGACTTCATTGTGGTTTCACATGCGTAGAGAACGTTACATGCCAGACGTAGTTCCTGTTCAGATTCCTTTGTTTGACAGCTCGAATTTGTTAAGAAATCAAGAAAAGGAAACCAATAAATGTCTAGAAATATGCATTAGGATTGAAAGGTGCATTTACATCTTTATTTAAATGACCTCCTTGAGTAAAACTGAATGTTATATAAATGGATGAACATGTATATAGCACTAGCAAGACTTTTTTCTTGCATTGAAGATGCCTAAATTTAAGCATAAAGTCCAAGAACATAGAGACAAACGCAAGGCAGAAATTGCAGGAATTTTTCCTTATTCTAACTAACATTCAGCACACAGGGAACACTTGACATTATCACAGCGCTGTGGTAGTTAAGGCCCAGCCTTCTGACTTTGGCCTTTCTCCCGAATAACTGGAGCCAGGCTGGTGCACTGGATCAGATCTTTCTGCTTTTGCAACAGTGTGAATCCAAGTCCGGATCTGCACTTTATAACCCATGCGGAACTCCAGCACGGACTCCAGGGTCTCGGCTGTGGTTGGCCTCTGCGTGACTGCGTGGGAGGGAGGCCCGTAAGCCCTTTCCCTGCACTAGTGCTCCCTCCTCCAGCGCAGATCCAGCTGCAAATCATGGATGCTGCCGTGTGCGCTGCCACTTTTCTCCCCAGTGGAGAGGATATGGGGAATCTTGGAAGCAGCTGTGCATGTTTGGAAGAGTCTGCACTAACCTCTCAGCTGGATGGAGGCTGCCTCTGGTCTGCTCCTCCAAATAAGGTCACCGCTCTAGTCGATGGCTTAGGACAGACAGGAAAATGATGCAAAGAACACAGGGACTCTGGGGAGGGAATCTTGAGTCACTCAGTTCTTGTATGTAACTTCTCCATTATTGCTTAATACATTGCAAAAATATTTGCTAGTGAATTGCACAGCCAGGGACAATCACAAAGTTTACTCAGTTCTCATCTGAGCAAATACAGGCCCCCTACCTTTATTTTGCTGTATCCCAGCCCAAGAACTAAGCACCAAAACAAGCTGCAGAATTTGATCAGTGTGCATAGAGGTAGATTAAATTTGCTGTTTAATGATCTCTGTGCCTCTGTTGCCAGATAGAGGAGACATTTTGCCTTTACTGGCATCCATCAGATTAAATGAAATCTTCCAAATTCATTTTGTCTGTACAAGTCTCTTTAAAAGTCAGCTGTCATTAGACACTGCTGCTTAATCTGAAAAATTTTAAGGCTAGCCCGAACGAGGCAGTACAAGCTTCTCAGCATTTGCTTTCTGTAAAATGTTTCTCTGGGTTTTGTCACCCGCTTCATAACTGAGAACTTAACCTGAGAACTGTTTTTGATTGTTTTCACATGAATCCCCTCAGACCACGAAAGGTTTCCATATCTAAATAATTTTTGAATTAAATGGGGTTTCCTTTTTCTTTTCCGTAGTTAGGGAGCCCTATAAATAAAAGACTATTTTTATTATCACAGTCTACTTTCAGAACAGAGTCTCAATAAAAACAGAGATAAAATATGGACATGCGAGACATGCAAACAGTGATAAAGGATTATGGGACAGATTCTGCTCTCCAACTTTGTCAGTCTTCCTGCCAAAGTAGCCAATAAACCTGGATGCAGAAATTCCTGGTTTGGGCAGCAAATATTGCACTGCCCAACCAAGACCCTAAAATTGATGAGAGGGCTAGAGAAAGGTGGAGTCGTCTTGTAGTCACAAAAGCCAGGAGAGTTTTGCACCAACTACGAGGCTTACATTTGCTCTGGCAGAATAGGAAATTTGGCTGTTGACCTTGACTGTAGCCTGATTAAATGAACTTATTTTGAAAATAACTACGGAAATTAGAGGCACCCCCCCAGTGAGTAACGACGCTGATGTGCTTGCAAAAGATATGTCTAGGTGAACTACAAGTCCTTTTTAATTTCCCATAATTTTTTTTAAGTACAGTTGGCAAAAAATTGTCAATTGTATGTCGTGAAGAACCACACCTCTGGTTAAACTCTCAGGAAGATTGTATCAGTCAGTAAAGATATCCTTTCAAGCATGACTTGAGAGAAACAGATGTGAACCCTTAGACCTATGGTTTTCCTGTGCCTTTAATTCTCAGGACAGTATTTACAACAGATAACTAAGAGGATGAGGTAAGAACATTTCTTGCCGGGAAGCCTCACCAGCAGGATACCTTGTGATGTGGTTTGTTGTGTTTCTCTCTTTTTCTGTGCATGTGCTGGCAGTGAATTTTTTCGGATTAAAAATATGCTCGAGTGTTTGTTTTAATCAAGTTTATTATTGTGACTGCAAAAATGCAGCTACAGCACTTGATTTTTCTTCCCTTAACAAGCAAGAAAAGAACTTAAAGTACTTCTGATGTGAGCAGAGCCCTTTTTCCCTCTATCAGATGAGAGTATCAACTCACATTTGCAAATGGTGTGGCTTCTCTATTACTTATTGCCCTTCCTATGAGGATACAGTATCAAGTCCAGCATTAGCAATTGCCACTGAACCTAGAAGGTTTTGGAAAGCCTTATTTTTCTTATTTTTCATTTGGTAAATGAATCTAAAAATGCTGAAGCCAGGCTCCTGGTTCTGCTTCAAAGTTTTCAGTCCTCGAGCAACTCAACTTTAAGGGAGCCCTCTTACTGCAAAGCAAAAGTGGAGGCCAGAGGAGGTTTTGGAGACACTTGCGGCCACTGTAAACCTGGTTTTGTTCTCATCGAAAGTCAAAGCAGAGTTTGAAAAGCAGCCGAGTCTTTATTTCGCTTGCCCACCAGAAGCTCTGAGAAATAAAGGCAATAATTCATTCATTCTCCCCCACTCCATTGCGGGTTCTGAGCTGTTAAAAGGGTCTTTGCTCTTCTGCTTTTCATTTTGCAACTTGACTGTTTATCACTGAGCAGTCTGTGAGGGAACACGCTGGGTATTGCTGAAACCCTCCCGCAGTCTCTCTGGTTTTGAGTCTTCACCTCAACTGACTTATCAGGATGATTCTGGTCAGTGTCACCAACTTTCGGTGTTTTACATAGGAGGTGTGAAACTTGTACCTAAATAGTTTGCCTTCCTTTCTTCCTTTTCTAGGGTGAATATTCAAATTCAAGAAGGCTTTTCTCCATCTTAACATTCGAGGAATTCTAGTGATCATTGAGTAAACGTGTCAAACCCTGTTCTGATGTACAGCTAGATAAGAAGTATTTCAACAAGGTTCTTAAGAAAATATTGGGTTCTCTTTAAGCAATTGTTGAGAGTGAGAAGCACTAATCTACTTTGTCAGTAAAGTGAAAATGCAATAAATAATCAACTTGTTTCAGTAAGGAGGAAGGATATTTTCATTACCGGCCTGCAAAGAGCTTGTTCCTGTTTTGATTTCTCTTTTTAATTATATTTGTAAAGTACTTCTCTAAATGTGTATGGCTCTGCATGGAACAATCTCTTCAGGCTGCAAGGGATTGAGCAGTGTCACATGAGCACTTTTCATCTAGCAGGGAACTCCTACATTTATATTTCCGAGCCTTTTTCTTTCACTCTAGGTATGTTTTTCCCCTTTGAAAACAGATGTCAGGTCCTCAAATATTTTGACATTTCTTCATTGAAGTCATCTAGCTGTGTTGGTTTATATGAGCCAAAAATTAGGTACAGTGTGTTTTATGACTGTTTCATATGCACTTTCCTTAAGACTACATAATTGCTCCTTTTCAGAAGAGGCAGTGCTCTTTTGAAGGCTTTTTCTTTTTTTTTCTCAGGACATCAAGGTCTCCCTGGTTCGGGAAGGAATCAAAGTATTTGCAGTGATAAGGCTCTGAATCATGCCAGCCAATTATAATTGCACTGATCACTTAAATATTTGTCTCTTTGGATTCTCTGCATGAGGGTCAGGATGGACGGACTTGTCATTTATGATTTTCCCTTTAATTTCTCCTAGGACTATTCCCTGCCTTATACACCACAGTTTGCGCAGTGCAAGGACACTATCAGGGAGTTCTATGAAGAAAGTCTTAATAAATGTTGCAGTCGGTGCCCTCCTGGTAAATTCTAATTTACACTGTTACTTTGCACTGTATGTTTTGATTATTGACACATGTGAAAAGCATCAATTTTGCAGTTCTAATGTAGTCTTATCTAGAAGAACGTAAAATGCAGACTGTAAAAATACTTGCAAAAGAAATACAATGTTTGCCAGAAGTTTTCCTACAAGGTTAACCTGGTTGGAGCTTATTGGGAGGATGATCTAGGCTGCTGAGCTCTTGTAAGCTCAACCTTGCATTGTATTTTGATTAAAGTAATTTTTAATTGCACATACATTTTTCTGTTTGTTTTGAAGCAAAAGTTAACTAATGAAATTAGAATTAAACAACATGCATCAGACCAAAGCTTAGTAATAACAGATGCATTCTAAGTCAGGGTATGAGGCAGAGTTTAATTTTTGTGCTTTGATAATAATACTTATATAAGGGGGTTTCCACTGGGCAGGTTAATCTATAATTGCTCATTAAGGATTTTTTTTGTCTTTACTATAAAGCAGTTACTATAGACCAGTGTCAGCGATAATACAGAAATAGAAGAGTTCTGAAACTGTTTTTCTCATTTGAGGTGTCATGTCTTATACTCTAGTGATAATTATTAGCGATCCTTTGCTAGCAAACAGCTAGAGTGCAGACATATGGGGGTGTTGAGGGTGGGTTTTTTGCTTTGTTTTGGTAATAGTGACATTGTGATATTTTAATTATAGATTTTTTGCAAAAGCTGTCATTATATGACATTAGACACAGGAAAAGAAAAAAAAAAAAAAAAACAGCTTATCTGTCTCATGACACGCTGAGCAAACAAAATTCGTCTCCATAACTGCTGAGTTCCTGTCAGAGAGATCCGGAAGTTTAAGCAGGAAGCCAATTTATGCTGAAACAGCCACAGTTGATTGAATTAACAAAAAAAAAAAAAAAAAATTCTACGTAGATTTGTCATACTTACTTTGTTAAAAACACAATGAAGGTAAAGATGATTCAGAATTAAAACCTCTATTTATTCCAGAAAATACATGACCCTATTCTCTAACTTCTAATTTTTCAGATTTTTTTTATTTTATGTGGCAAACAGGAATGATGAAAAGGTCAGATTTTCCCTGTGTATACATGCAATCCCTATTTAAATTAGTACCTGCTTGGTGTCTGCCATCAGCCTAATAACGGCAGTCAAAGGAAAAGTTTTCTACAACTAAGAATGAAACTTACCCAAACTCCTAGTGACGAGATTTTACTGTTTCTTTTTTTTAATAGGTCAATATGAGTTACAGAACTGCACTGACAGAATAGACACAAAATGCAGTCCCTGTGAACTTAACTCGTATACAGCTGTCTGGAATCGGTCTCCTCAGTGCTTTGCCTGCTTACCACCTTGCAGGAAAGGTAGGGCTGAACTATTAAAGGGGCTTTTGAGCCTTTTACACCTGCTCCAAAGCTGAAATGTTTTAATCTGGCTTTTTTTTTTTTTTCCCCTAAGGAAACTCCTCAAGAGTTTGGATCTGTCGCTTGTATATTCCCAATGGCATCTTGTCTTTTTCTTGTTTCAAAACAGGTTTTGTGCAGCTTCAGGCGTGCACAGAATCACAGGACAGAATCTGTAGCTGCCCACCCAATGAGTACTGCATTTCAAAAATATATGACCAGTGCGAAATGTGCAGAGTGCATAAAAAGTGTGGAAAAGGCTACCGAGTTTCCAAAAGAGGTACTTTAATTCTGAACACTCAGAATCTGTGCACAAATGAGCTTTACTGTATGAAGAGGGTTATTTTTACCTTAATAGTCCATAAATATTTCCAAATCTGCCTTGAATTTGGTGAATTACCAGATGAATGTGTTTTAATGTCCTGCCTTCTAACGCAATCCACATTTTAGCAAGTAGACAGTGTTCTCGAGGCATATTAAAAGGGACAAAATATCTCAGTCTTTTACTGCATCATGAAGTTCCCTGATCCAAGTTAGTTTTCCTTTGTTTTGCTGCACTATGTGATTACAAAGTGATCTGCGCTTGCAGCTTGAGGACCACGTAATTCCTGTTTAAAACCTTAAAACAGGGCTTCAGGTTGAAGTTAATCTAGGGTAAGTAATGATGCCTGCAGAGGAATTAATTTCTCCTTATTAAATTATGAAATTTACCAGTCTGATGGTGTAGTTGTCTCAGGATAAAAATGATGCAGGTGGATTGCCTACTAATTTTAAGAAATACTCTAGAAAAGAGTCAAAATTGCAGCAGGATGGAAAGATGGTCAGCCTGTCAGGCACCAGTGAAAAGGCTCAACATTTATGACACATTTAATCTTTTCTGTAGGTTTTAACAGTCTTTGAAAAAAAATGTCTATCAAGGGCACAAAAGTAACAGCTGATGAATCTTTTGGTTTGTGTTTGGGTGGGATGTTTCAGATTAACCACTTTTGTGATGGGCACAGTCTGTATTTTGTGCACTGTCTCCACGTTGGTTCCAGGATCTGCAACACAGACCGTGATTATTCATTCTTGGTTCTCACTAGGTGACTAACTGCAGTTTTTCTATTTATTTGAAGGAACAGACAGCACAGATACAGAATGTGTACCTTGTCCTCCTGGAAATTTTTCAGATGAGGAATCTTACAGTACCAGCTGTAAGCCTCATAGAGTGTAAGCCAACCTTTCTGTCTAATAGCAACCTTTAATTGAGCCTAGGACTGATTTCTTTTCTAACTTATCTTTTTGTTTCTTGCAGTTGTAAAACAGTGGCTATTCCAGGAAATCGCACGCATGACACTGTTTGCAGTGACTCAGGAGTAGTGTTAACCACAGCTCTACCTCACACTGCTGTGAAAACCATCCTGACCCAAAGCTCAAATTCTGACAGACCTGAAATATTAACTCGACCTGTCGTTCTAAGTGCTGCACCTGATACGTCTTATATCATTGGTGAGTTATTAATTCTTTGGAAGTCATTTTCATCTGGCTAGGAAGCAAGATTGCTTTTAGTTCTCAGTTTCTTTCAGAGACCAACGATCTGTACCCAGATAGAACCTCAGAAGAAATGGAGTTAATAGAGTAAGATGCTGCTTGTATTGAGTAGTGTATTGTTTACCCATATATGTGCCCTGCCTCAGTGCATTATATAGTTCTTGTGGCAATATTTATAAAACGTGCAGAACTAGATTATGAAATGCACTTCCTGAGAATAAAAAATCTATACAGCATTGATAAGCATAGACATATTTTCTCCTGTTCAGCACCTATTCTGCTGTCTTTATCTGTGTTTATATGTGTTTAGGTGCATTCTGGGCTGCCTGGCCTTATATGTAAAGAACTGTTGCTGGCCTAGTAAGGTTCCCTTTGTGAACGAGGCCAGGAATCTGTCCTCGCTTCTCAGCACAGTAAAGTTCAATTTTATGAAGTGCTGGAGACTGAAATGCAACCTTGTTACCCAATCATTCAAGACATTAAATGTGAATGTCAGACACAGTGGCTACTTGTGAAATGAGTTTTTATAATCTTGGACGGAAACTGCTGAACTATTTGTGTCTAATTCTCTCATTTGCAGATGGACCTGCTCAATAATTCTCATTTATTTTCCAGGCTCAGTAGCAGGGCCATTGGTATTAATCGTGATAATTGCTGTTTTGGGATACTGCTTAGTCTCTCGTAAAAAAGGTAAGATTCATGCAGTGAAATAAACAGTTCTGTAATCATCAGAAATAGTAACATCTGGTTTCTTACTAATTTGAGCCTGGTGTTTGTCTGATTTAGTGTCCTAGAAAGTGCTAGCTTTGAAGCTTTTCTTATGGCTGGATATGGAGGCAGGCTTGCTTATGTGTAGGGTCTTTGATGTCTAGTAATAGGCAAGTTCATTATTTTTTTTAATAAGGAAAGAAGACATTTATTTGCATGTCCTCATCCACTGACTGGTAACATAGCTTCAGGAAACTTCCAGGAAAGTTCAGAGGAACTTTTGACCTCATTACTCTGTTACACTTGGATGAAATTGCTCAAATGGTTCAAAGGTCAAGAGGAGAGACTAATGAAAAATTCATGCAAAGGACTACGCACATAAATTTTGCAGCCACAGAAAACCAGAATAAGAAAAATACTCTGAAGTATTCCATATGCATTTACATTAAATGTATCTTTATTAGATCACATGCAGTGAACTTCATTTCAATATGGGGATATGAGGCAGGTACCCTATTCAAATCTCTTATTCCTCAGAGGAAGAGATAATGGTCTAAATATGCAACATCCAGTGGAACTGGCAACTGTGCAGCAATTTCCTAATGCAGCTTGTTAAATATTTTGTGATTCATCATTTAGGTATTAGACATTACCAGATGTTATTACTATCATTTTACTGTCATTGTACATATTTTATTGTTATTCTTTGACACTGTGCTAAAGAAAAATGATTAATTCATACGTGGAATCGTCTCTGTTCACTGGCCAAATTCAGTTTTAACAAAATTAGTGCAGTACACAAAATTTAAAAAAAAATTTAAATAGCATGCACTAGCAATTTGGCTGCATCCACAGGGCATAGAGAAAGTAAAACGAAATGTACATTTGGAGTTTATTCTAGCAGCTCAGGTTATCACTCAGGCAAGTTAAGAAGGGAGCTTTTGCAATATAAACAAATTTTGCTGCTAACGAACTCTTTCCTTATTCACAGCACTTTTATATTCTCCACCAATTGGGGAAGCAGATTTGGTGAGTGTGACTCATTCATTCCTTTTCATCTTCTCCGTTTCTCTAACAGTTATATAGAAATCAAGCCATCTTACCTAATTATGAAAAAGCTAAAACTGTAGTGAGGAAGGGCTGGTCAGGTTGGCACTAACCCCAAGTTACTGCCTAAGATATAATTGTTGTGACTGATTCAACCTCACATTATGTCAGGCCATTTAGCCATGTAACGTAGGTGCCTAGGCAGATGGATTTTACTGAATAACTGATGAGGTATTATGAATTTTGTTTACAGTTACTGCTTCACAAATGGAGATTATCAGTAGTTTGTTTAATAAAAAGTAGCCAGCATTTAGGCATCTAATGTTCAGCATTTTTCTGCAAATGTTCCAGCCTTTTTCGCCTGCAGAGAAGCAGTGTGAGAAAAAAGTAAGAAATACAGGACCACAGAAGTCCAGTAACTCTGAGCAGGAGGAACAGCATCTCTTGGAAACACCAGGCTCAAGCAGTAGCTCGCTCAATAATCCAGCTGGTGCCTCAAGGATCAGTGTAATAAGTAATAAGAACAACGAAAAGAAAGAAGTGGAAGGGCTTCAGCAGCAATATTCAGTCACAGAAGGTTGTAAACTTCACAGCGGAGACAGACACAACTCTGCAAGTTCAGGTAAGAGTCTGGCAAAGATCATATATTGGAATGTTCCACAACCTCTTGAAATTTGGTGATCTAAGATTTTTTTTTCATAATTTAAAAATATCAGAGCCATGTTCAGCAGCAAGAGTATTTAGGAACTTTTTAAAGAAGTGATTGTTTTAAGCTTTCAGCTTAGAACAGCAAAGACACTGTGCTCAGCTGCAAAACTGTTTTTTTGCAGGCTGGGGAGCCAGGGTCATTGTAGGCATGTTCCTGTCAGTGGGAGAGACAAAGCAGTAAAAGGTGATAGACTAAAGCTTCAAAAATAGAACGGGGACTAAGAAAAAAGAAACAGATGGGCGCGGAGTTGTCTGTGATCTAGGTCTCTGTATTAGGTGTTTTTAGTTTGTTTTAAATACTGAGATAATATGTAGATTTTACTGTGTTTAAAAAGAAAAAAAAAGGAAACAAAAAGTTGCAGCACCATCTCCACCAGCTTGCATAAACTGCTTCAAGCAAGGAGATAGAGTCTATTTTGACTTCGTCTGTCTCTCTGACTTGCCTGACTTCCAGTCTGTCTCTGGAAAGAATCCAACCATCCTCCTCGGGATTTTGTTCTTCCATGCTTACTGTGTTTTTTGTTTATTTGATAGAACACTCTGGTAATGGAGGAACACAGGTGAATGTGACTTGCATTGTTAAAGTATGTAATTCCGACCGCAGTGCGCAGTTCCCAGAGCAGACTAGTTCAACTAGCATGGATTATGGAAATGCTCCCCATTATTCTCCAACAGGGGAAGAAATTCCTCTTTCAAAAGAAGAAAACCTCTTGCAAAAAGAAACTGAAATTAAGATCTCAGTGGAAACCGAGGATGATTTACTTCAAGACCTACTTCCAGAAGAAAAGACATTTCCCCTGGGTATTCAAGATGTGGGGATGAAGATTAGTTAAAGGAGATTACAGATCAATTATCGATTGACCACCTCCAACCTTCTAAAATAAACATTTTCTTAAATGTAGCATTCCTACGGAGATTTGAAATCTAAGATGAATATAGACATGGGAGTTCTTTAGGTTTTAAATCGTTCGTTTGTTTGTTTTTCTGTCAGCCCGGAGACTCAAATGATGCTCTTTGCGGTTTATAAGAAGCTACCACTTTTTAATGCTTTCTTGTAAATGGAATTGCCTACTTTTCCCTTTCTTCTATGATACATCTTGAGCATATCCAAGAGAGACCTTTGAAAAACAACTCTTTTCTACCTTTTTGCCATTGACTTTTCTGCGGAGACTTCCTGTGATGATAGTCTGGGTTCATACATACTACCTGTTAAGAACATGACTGCAACCAGCCCTTCCAAGAGACTGGAATTATATGATCAGTCATCCATTTCCAATAAGCTATTCATATAGTTTTAATTTTAAAACTACTTCATTTCCTATTTTCATGTATGTATTTCTACTAGCTTTTTGGATATATTTTATCATGATTTGCCTTCCTTCCTTTCATGCTTTGATCAAACTTTACAACTCAAGCTAAAGTATATTAAGGAGCACAGTCTTTTACAGCAGTTTTATACTAGATTACAACTACCCTGTTATTTCATTAGCTGTACATATTATTTTAGAAAATGAAATCTGTTTTAAATAGTTGTTATCTTGAAATAGACAGAAAATTCCTAATCATGTCACAGCTGCTTTAATATGCTTCCCTGACTGATCCTGACCTCAATTTTGAGGTTATCAAGATTATTTTTATGACAGTGACCATTAGGGATGATCCAGACAACTCACACCCATTGAATTTGGGTACAGGACTATATGTTGATGATTGCGAACTTGTAATATGGTGTTGTTTAAGTGAAATCAGACAGAAGTCGTATTTTTTCTTTTATTCCATGAAAACATACTTGCTAACATCAAGAGTAACTAAATGCATTGTTTATGAGGCCTAAAAAAAATAGAATAGCATTTATTCTACAGTTACAATTTAGAGTCAGAATTTAGTTCACGTGGAAGCTTAAGCATCTTATTTTTATCAGGTTTATTCACTTTTTTTTCATGAAACTGAGAAATGACAAGGAGACTTTTATGCCATTCTACAAAGTTTTTATATTGGCTTTTGAAAATTGAAAGTAATTTGCAGGAAAGATGCAAAGACCTACAACATGGAAACTGATATAAAATTGCAGGATTTATGAAAGAGAAGTACCTCATTTTATATATTGCTTTGAATAGCCTGCACTGAGTATTCTCCTGTCTTGTTCATCAGCTCCCATAGTGGGGATCAGATTGAAGAAGCAGCTCAAGATATTTGAAGAAGTTTTAAAAAAAGTTTATTACAGTTGGCAGTAACTCTATGGGGTTTTCAAATTATTGAGCTGCATGGCAGAAGGCAAATCTAGGTTCTACGTTCAAAGTATGAAAAATGTGCTTATATTTGCTGAAAAAAATTGAAAGTATATTTTTATAATGATGTATACCGAACTATACATTAAAATTCTTATTTTTTGAAGGGGTTGTTTCACTTCACCATTTTAACTATGGCATGGTAGATTTTGTGGTGTAGGTTTCTCTCACGGAGTGATTAAAAAGAAAAGTCACAAGCGTGACCTCCACTCTGAGTAAAGATCCCGTGATGTTTAATGCTACCCCTCCCTCTGAGCAATAATATTTAAAAAAGTGGGTTGCATTCCTACAAATGATGACAACTGTCATTAATTTAAACGTCGGCTCCTCACGAGTAGGGGGGACAAGTGGGGCCGCCTCGTGACCGCAGGAGCGGCCGTTGGCGCCCGCCCCGCCC